TTTTTCTTTCACACACATTCACACTATATTCATGCAGACAAACCAAGTTAGATATCATGAATTGAACGGTCGTGATTGGATGACTCGATTCCAAGTCTAATGGTTAGACGGTGATTGTGGGGTTGGAAATACTTGGAATTGACATTTTATGGGTGTGTGTGTGTGAAGATGGTGGCGGTGCATGGAATGGGATTTTTTTTTTTTTTTTAATTTTTTTCCGTTGGTTTTTGTGGATTTGGTTAGTAAAATATGATGATGGTGATGGTGGCGAGGGAGTGCGATGGTGGAGATGGTAAGGGTGGTAGTAATGGCGACAATAGTGAGGTGGAGAGTAGATTTGGTGGTTTGGCGGTGACGTGATGGTTGATGAAGAACAATTAAAAGAGAAGATTATATAACTTGATTGGAAAAGAGGAAAAATAAGAACAACCTACGAAACACGCATAACTTTAAGCTCGAGTGTTAAATTTACACGAAAAAGTACAATTCAGAAGAGATTTTCAATTCTCTATAATTTTGTCGGAGTAACGATATTGGCCCCTTTGGGGTCAAATTCCATCGTTTAGGAGCGTGATTTAGCATTTTTATATTTTGAGTCAGTTTTATGATATTTTCGTTATTTTTATAGTTTTCTAGTTTTACTTGAATTTGTAATATTTTAATTTTCCATTATTTGATGAATTCTAGCATTTCTCGCGTTCGTTCGAACGAAATTTGAGCGACATCTATTCTTACAAACAAAACCTTTTTACTATTATTCACATTTTCATCCCATGTGAGGATGGTGTAACATGGTATGTTACAATGACAATGAAGATTTACATGGCGGCAACGGTAATAATATAGTAACAATTTAACGTTAAACGTGGTGGTTGTGACATAGCGGTGACAGTATTGTAACATTAAGCCCCTATTTGGTGCACATTTTGGGAATAAGAATGCATTTTTACTATTGATGTGATTGTGCATATATGGTTGAAAAAGAAGGAAAAATTATAGATGTGATGAAAAATATTATTTTATTGACAAATACGTGGTTGAAAATAAGTAGAGGAATGAGAATGAAAAAAATAATGTGGCTCAAATAATGGCTAAATATTACAAGTGGTGATGACTATAGCTATGACGGTGAAATTAGGTGACAAAATGTGTTTCACATAGGGGTGTTAAATGAGGCAAGCCAAGTTATTCGACTTGTCAATTTTTAATTTTTTTGCATTTTCACTTAGTATGACAAGTCGTGTGAGCGGCTCGAATGAGTGGTCCGACTGTTGCTCGGTTCATGCCTATGACTTATCCCAATTAACACCCCTAATCACACACCGTACCAATAGGGAATTCCTTAAGGGAAAAAATCATGGATCCGGT